GAGTTACCTGGACATTTTTTGTTCTTTTTTTCTCTAATGGATATTTGCTTATTACATTATTTTTTCTTTGCCTTTTTAAAGATAATCAATTGTTGGTATCTGCAAGTAATTTTAAGGGAGACATGGATGACCCATGGGCACGGTTGGTTATGTCTTTGAAGCAGAGGCAGAAAGGGGTAGCGGTTGCTTGGAGGAGGCCTCCACTTCACTGGTTTAAGCTAAATACAAATTCGAGTGTTGCTCGGGGTCGAGTTTATGGAGGGAGGGGGTGTTGAGAGATTCTGATGGTCGGCTAATCTTTGCTTATTATAAGGAGTTTGGAGAGACGAATGTACGATTTACAGAAAATTTATCATTATTGCACGGTTTTCAACTGTGTCAATGGGAGTTAGAGGGGAAGTTAATAGTAGAAGTGGACTCAGAGAACTTGGTTCGATTGATTATATCAAGAATGGTAGCTAAATGGCCATTGTGTAACACACTTAGAAGGATACAAGCTTTGTTGGACTTCTTTTCAGCTTTGATCGCGCATATATTTAGAGAGGCTAATTCATTAGTTGACATGTTAGCAAATTTGTTTCTTCCCTCCAGAGTTTTTTTGCACTTCATATGACTAGCTTCCTGGAACGATTAGGGCGTCTTTGCAGTTAGATTGTCGAGAGTTTTGTTCAGTGCACATGCAAGTTGTTCGGGAGTAGTTTGTTAAGGTGTGAGGGGTAATTGGATCAGGAAATTAGCCAGTGAATTGGGGAAGGCAAAAACGATGTAGTTTTGATTAGGAAGGATTTAAAAGATAGTTAAGTCGATTAGAGGCTTACTAACAGAATTTGCAATAAAATGTGGGGCCCACGTGCTACCCTCCACAGATTTGGTAATAACAAATTCATTTTCCTTTCTATCTCTATCATTCTCCCTCTTCCTCGTCTCTTTCTTCTTAATCCTTCTTCCCTCCAATTTCTAGAAGTACCAAATGCATGGTTAATTGGTAAACTTCACCTTCGTTCATAACAATTGGTATCTAAAGCAGTAGATCCTCAGAGTTTATCAGGCAAATCCATGGCTGAAAGCACTAGATTCAGAACACTAGAGGAACAAGTGAAAAAGCAAGAAATCGAGCTTTAAGAGTTGGTGGAATCTCTGCATTCATCTCAATCTGAGCAACAACAACTTAAGAGCGATCTAAAAATGGAATTGAAAGAGAACAATAAAAGAATGGAGAATCTTTTGACAGGAATGGAGCAGAACTTCAGCAAGTTTTTGGAACAGAAGTTCAACACACTTTTGTCTAAGATGACTCCTGGGAAGGACAAGATAACGGAAGGAGAAGGAAGAATGATGGTGGATCAGACGCCAATTCTGCCTACACCTCCAGCTCATCAGAGATTGCAAGCTGAAGGAGAACAACAGAAATCCTTCAAAAGAGATTGGGATAAGTATCAGCTTCCAAATCCACCTAAGATAGATTTACAGTTGTTCACTGGGGAAAATCCTAGGGATTGGTTGCGTAAATGTAACAAATATTTTATGAACTATCAAATTCCGGAAGACCAGAAGGTTGAAGTAATAGAAATGTATTTAGAAGGAAAGGCTGATAAGTGGTTCCAAGGTATAAAAATTGAGAAACTTGGATTATGTTGGGTAGAATTTGGAGAGCTATTATGCAAGAGGTTTACTGACAGTATTTGCAAGGATGTAGTGGAAGAATTTAACAAATTACAACAAGAAGGCAGTGTTGAAGAATATCAAGAGAAATTTGAAGAACTGAAACCCTTGATGTTGATCAAGAATTGGAATCTTGATAAAAGCTACTTCATTTCTAGTTTCATCAGTAGCTTAAGGGAGGAAATCAAGCCTATGATTAGAATGTTGAAGCCTACTACATTAACTGAAGCCTTTGAGTTGTCTCAGTGGCAGGATTATTCACTTAAAGTGCAGAATAAGAACTCCAGAGAAAGTTCCAAACAGTTGGTGGAAAGCAGATTTGGACTGACAAAAGGAAATGCATCAACTGTAGGCAGTAACAAGATCGGCACAAGATTCCTGCCACTGAGGATTCCTGTCAATAATACTTTCAAACCTCCTAGATTCAGCACAAGATCTCATGAGGATACCAAAGAATTGAGAAAGATCTCAGCACAGGAGATGAATATAGAAGGAGTAAGGGACTGTGTTTCAAATGTGAGGAAAGATATGGAATAGGTCACTAGTGTAAGGTAGGACATGCAAACTGTATGATACTAGAAGAGGAGGAGGATGCTGCTTTTGAAGATGCATTAGGAGAGCAGGATGTATAGACAAGAAATCCTAGACAGACTATGGAATTATCCCTGCATGCCTTGTCTGAATCACTGAGAAGGAAGACAATTATACTGACAGGCATCCTAGATGGTGAATAGGTGTTGATACTGGTAGACACTGGAAGCTCAGACAGCTATATCAACAGTGAAATGGTCATTGGAATGGACATTAACTACAGATGGGTTGAACAGCCATTCTTTGTCATTATGAGGAATGGAGCAAGTGTATCTAGCAATGCTATCTGTCCTAATGTACACTGGAGGATTAATCAAGACAGCTTCAAATTCAATCTAAAGGTGATGGAGTTAGGGGGATGGGATATAATATTGGGAATGGATTGGATGACACATTTCAGCCCTATCACATTTGATTTCCAACAACTTAGACTATCCTTGCATAATGAAGGAAATGAAATCCACTTGCATGGACAAGCAGAGGACTGTGATCTGGATTTGATCAGAGAGAAGGATCTGAGGACATTCATTGAATACAAGAGGCAAATGTGCATGGCATTGAACACTAAAAGTGAGGCAAAAGAAGGAACAGAACCTATACCACAGGGAGTAATGGAACTACTACAAGAATATGAAGATGTGTTCTAAACCCCAAACTCCTTACCCCCAAGTAGAAATGTAGACCATGAGATACATCTCAAACCAGAGGCACAACTAAGTTGGATCTCACAACAGGTGATAAGTGACTAATTTACATTTTAATTATATGACATTTTATATTATTTTTAGTCACTTTGGTTATATTACTGGAAGAAAACGAATCATTTTGGTTATAATTGGTGAAAAATGCTTTTAAGTAATTAAAAGAGGTTTTTATCACTTTTTACTTGGATTTTGTGCATTTTGACAGTTTTGACACATTTTCGTATTTTAGCTATAACTTGAGTTAAAATAATCGGATTGAGATAATTCTTAAAACCAATTTGAAGATAAGAGATAGATCTACAACTTTGGTGAAGACATCTGAATCCAGTTTGAAGGTTTTTCAGGTCAAAAGCCGAATTACAGTAGCTAACTTCTATTGGTCGAAGCTGAAACAGGGCAGTGAGCAGTTAAGGGTATTTCGGTCATTTCTCAGCCTACACAGATCCAAATGAGGTGATTCTTGATGCATTGGAAAACTAACTCAAAGAGCTACAAGTTTTATGTTTTGATCAAGAGCTAAATCAGCTTTTATCATCAAGAAAAGTTCAATTGAAATTGATGCAAAATTGGAGCAGAGCTGGAAATTGAACAAAAGTGCACCAAAATGTCACTGTAGCAATCCGGCCAGAAATTGGCCGGATTTCTGGCCAGATTGTGGTCAAAGAAGACTGCTCTTTACGCAGAAAACTTATTTTCATCTCCAACAAATCACATGCAATGTCAGACATGTGAGAACTACTTTGCAGTTGTAAAAGGATGGTGTAGGCCTCATTTTCTTGACCTCTTTCATCTTTATATATTCAAAACTTGCAAGATTGAAGGAGGACTAGAGAGACATACGGGAGAGAACTTGGACTGCAAAAATGTAGCTCTTCCATTTTTCTTAGTGTAGGATAGTAGTTTAGACTGTTCATCCAGTCTTGTTTATTAGCTAGGCAAAGATGAAGATGGAGGATGAAGAAGGCAAGGAGATGAACTCATGTGACAAGAGTTACATTCCTTCCAAACTCTTTATCTTTTGTACTTGATTCCAAGTTTAGTTAATATACAAGTTCTGGATTTTGTGTTTAATATGTATCTTTAAAGTTTATGCCTTGGGTTTGGTTGAACTTTCTATGATTGTTAGTGTTTAATATTTGGTCATTTAATTGCTATGATTTGAGCAAGTTATTTAGCACTTTGGCTCTTTAAATCATGATTAATCTGGTACCATTAATTGTGATTACCTAAGGTATTGTTTCTGCAATGAAAATTGAGATTTAACACTGGTTCAAAAAGTGCTAAACATAGGGAGTACATTCACGAAAGTAGAGGTGCACCTATGTGGTTTTAAGTGATTCATTTCATGTAATTTCACTGAAGAAATGAACTTGTAGCTAATTTCATAACCATGAGAATAGGTATGGATTAGTTATAAGTATAATTGATTCACTACGAAAGTAGGTTTCATATGCATAAGGAAATTACATTATAACTAACCTAGATAGTAGTATTCAATGATCCAAATATAGCACTTGCATGAGTAGTTAGGGATACCACAACTTAAGGAGTTTTCATTTGTTATTTTCTTGCATAAGTTCAGTAGGTTGTACTTGTTATAATTCATTGATAGTCTAAATAATAGAGAAGCTTTAGTAGTGCCGGTAATTGCAATCTTCCTTGTGGGATCGACCCTTAATACCCTATACTCGTTTACGATTTGTATACTTGCGATAAATTGCGTGTGGGGTATTTAGGAGTTTATAAATGTAAAACTTGATTAGGATGAGTTTAATGTTTATGTATACCCTACACCCGTCAACAGGATACCACCAGATCAGGGTTAAACCCTAGGATACTTTCAAGACAGCTTTTCAAACTCACTGTGGACACTTTGAGTTCCTAGTCATGCCTTTTGGACTCACAAATGCACTAGCAACATTCCAGTCACTGATGAATTAGGTATTCCAACCACATCTGAGAAAATTTGTCTTGGTCTTTTTTGATGATATATTGGTATATAGTCATACATTGGAAGTTCATATACAACATTTAAGGATTGTAATGAGTGTTTTAAGAAAACATCAATTCTATGTAAAGAAGTCTAAGTGTGCATTTGCTCAGAAGAAGATTGATTACTTGGGGCAGACCATTACTGATAAAGGAGTCAGCATGGATTACCCTAAAATCAATAGCATTTTACAATGGCCTGTACCTCAATCAGTGAAGGAATTAAGGGGATTTTTGGGTCTCACAGGTTATTGCAAGAGGTTTATAAAACATTATGGTCCTGTTTGTAAACCACTCACTGAATTGTTAATGAAAGATAGCTTTAAATGGAATAGTCAGGCACAAGGCTTCTTTGAGCACTTAAAAAAGTTGATATGCTCAGCTCCAGTTCTCCAGTTGCCAGACTTTAAGAAACCTTTTATAGTAGAGACAGATGCTAGTGAGGGAGAAATTGGAGTAGTATTAATGCAAGAAGAGCATCCCATTGCCTTTTTGAGCAAGGCATTATCAATAAAAAAATTTGGGACTATTAGTTTAGGAGAAGGAACTCCTGGTTTTAGTAATGGCAGTAACAAAATGAAGGCACTATCTAGTTGGGAGTCATTTCATTATAAGGACTAATCATCAATCACTAAAATATCTCTTGGATCAGAAACTGAACACTGCTATTCAGCATAAATGGATGACTAAGTTGTTAGGGTTGGATTATGAGATACAATATAAGAAAGGAGCTGAAAATCAGGTGGCAGATGTGTTATCCAGGAGACATGAAGCTGCATCCAAGATGGAAGTTAGATCCTGTTTGGCAATTATATCTGTTAAACCTGGATGGATTGAGGAGTTGCAGAAAAGCTATGAAGGTGACCTATACTGTCAAAATATTATGAGCCAACTAATATTGGATCCCAATTCCCATGCTGACTACACTCGATTGGATGGGATCCTAAAGTATCAAGGTAAAATTTATGTGGGAAGTGCCAACAGCATCAGGAGCCAACTAATTCAGACATTGCATGACTCAGCAATAGGAGGTCACTCAGGTCAGAGGAACTGTTGGCAGAAGTTTAAGACTCTATTCTACTAGCCAGGAATGAAGCAGGAAGTAATATCCTATGTGCAGAGCTGTGATATTTGTCAAAGGAACAAGTCTGAACATGTTTCTTACCCTAGATTGTTACAACCAATTCCAGTACCTAAACAAGCATGGCTCCATATCTCTATGGATTTTATTGAGAGACTGCCTAAGTCACAGGGGTATAATGCTATCTTGGTGGTGATTGACAGATTCACCAAGTTTGGTCACTTCATCATGCTTACTCACCCTTCACAACTAGAAATGTTGTTAAGGTCTTCCTCGACCATATCTACAAGCTACATGGTTTACCAGATCTATCGTAATTGATAGGGACAAGATATTCACCAGTGGGTTTTGGAAGGAACTTTTTAAAATAGTAGGAATAGAGCTACATTATTCATCCTCTTATCATCCCCAAACTGACGACCAAAGTGAGAGATTAAATCAATGTGTAGAAAATTACTTGAGATGCATGACAGGGGAATTTCCTTCGCAATGGAGTAAATGGTTATCACTGGCTGAGTGGTGGTATAATTCCACTTATCATTCTAGTCTTGACATGACCCTCTTTGAAGCTCTTTTTGGGTACAAACCCACACCACTACCACTGGGACCCTATCTAGACTCAGTAGTACCTGCAGTACCCAATATGGTTCAAGAAAGAAGCAGAATTTCAAGTTGTATTAGGGAACATTTGGCAAAGGCTCAGCAGAGAATGAAACACTATGCAGATCAACACAGGACTAAGAGAAACTTTTCTATGGGTGACTAGGTATTTTTAAAGCTGCAACCATACAGGCAGCAGACTGTGGTTGTAAGAAAGTGCCTCAATTTGTCAGCCAAATATTACGGGCCATTTCAGGTAGAGGAAAAGATTGGAGCAATAGCCTACAAACTAAAACTTCCAGCAGATGCAAGATCGCACCCTCTATTTCATGTTTCATTGTTAAAGAAGAAACTGGGGTTATTACAGAGCAGTTCATCTAAGCTACTAGAGTTGGACGAACATGATCAGTGTCCATTGAAACTAGAAACTATCTTGAAGAGAAGAGTTATCATGCGAGAGGGGAAACCCGTCATCCAGTTCTTGATCAAATGGAATCATTTGAGCTATGACGAAACATCATGGGATGACAAGTCTTTTATTGAAAATCAGTTCCCTGACTTCCAGACTTGAGAACAAGTCTGATTTCATAGGAGAGGAATTGTTAGGATGTGGGGGTAATTGGATCAAGAAATTAGCCAGTGAATTGGGGAAGGCAAAAACGATGTAGTTTTGATTAGCAATGATTTAAAAGATAGCTAAGTCAGTTAGAGGCTGACTAATAGAATTTGTAATAAAAGGTGGGGCCCACGTGCTACCCTCAACAGATTTGGTAATAACAAATTCATTTTCCTTTCTCTCTCTATCATTCTCCCTCTTCCTCGTCTCTTTCTTCTTAATCCTTCTTCCCTCCAATTTCTAGAAGTACCATATGCATGGTTAATTGGTAAATTTCACCTTCATTCATAAGATAGTTTCCCTACGGTAGTCAAGCCATTACCTCTATGTTTGCTCCTTTCTTGAACTCTTTGTATTTATTTTTGGATTATTAATAACAATTGTTGGTGTATTATATACATACTCCTCTCATGTGAAACGTTACCACTATCAAATATAGTAATTAAAATTGAGCCACATGTTAAAATTCAATAAAGAAAGGAAGTAAAAATTTTAATATTAAGAACTTGGCATAATAGAGAGGTATTTTTATCTCTCATGGGGTTAAGTGACAAAAAAAAAGTTAGGAAAAGCCAGGACAGGATATACCTCAGAGAGATAAATTAAAAATAACCCTTGAATTAAATCAATGCTGAGCAAAATCTATAAAGCAGATCGAGATGCTGATTTCAAACAAGGAAAGTCTAAGTCAGGTCTCAATCGACTATTGATGGAAATAGGCCATAGTAGTGGCAAGATTGTCAAAATGGCGGTACACGCATGGTCCCTTTGACCACTATATTATTAGTTTGCTTAAAGGGACATTCCACCAAACACACTTACCCGTCAAACCGAAAACTACTACAACTTGTGCCAAAGCATTGTGCCAAAGCAGTCCCTGATCTAATAAGATTTGTGTACCTGCTAATTCCAAATACAACCTCTTTAGGCTCCTCTTCCCCTGAGTATAGGATAGATAGGTAATACAATAGTTGTCATTTCCGAAAAAAAAAAAAAAAAAAACGTTAAGGGTTTGAGTTCAAATTTTTGGTTTTTTTTTTTTAATTTTCATTTCTTAAATTTCATCTTTCTTTTGATAAAGAAAAAATATTCAGAGAACTACTACAATCTGAAAACTTAAGGATTCTAGCAACTTATGCATAATTTAGACTAGTTACTAGTACAAATTCTCTTGGTAAAAGAGTCGAACAATTGCTAAATTGCTAACTGGACTCGGAGCTAGACCTGAAGCCTATGCGAGCTTTCAAATTTATGTGTATCAGCTTACACTAGATTTTTTGGACATGTAAGTAGAAAGAATCAAAACATCGAATACACAGAAAATTTAGAAATCTGCACTCCGGACAAGTGCTTACTAGAAAACAAGTTAGGGAAGTTTAGAAGGAGAGGTCACTTTTAATTGTTAGCAATATCTACACATCAATTGTGAAAATGACCAAAACATCTATAGTATATTTCTATGCCTTTGTGCGTATTTCTGTACTCACACGCGAAAATGACCAAAAGATATATAGTCTATTTCTATGCTCTTATGTGTATTTCTGTACTCACACATGAAGAAAACCATTTGGTTGTCAAGAGTGAAGAGTAGAAGAAACATAAATAGAAGGTTCCTTTTGGCTCCAAAAACAAAGAGTTTATTTTTTTTAATTTAAAATATTCTTAATCACTCTCTTTCTTATTGTGGAACTGTTTTATGTTACCTTATCCTGTAAGCTATTAGTAGGATTTTCTACAGGAAGGAATTTTAGTAATCATATGGTTAAGGTTTCACCCACAGATATATCAAAATGAAGACTCGTTCAGTCAATAAAAACTTATTAAAGAATTTATGGTGGTAATAATCTCGGAACAAACAATATAATTAGATTTTTGCCGTACCGTAATATAATTATATCTACTCTCCTAATTTTCACTTTCAATGTAACAAATGTCAGCCCTTACCTATAAAATATTAATATGAAATGCTAAAATGTATTTTCATTTCCAAATTGCCATCATGTGGCTTATAGGTAATTTATGTAACTAATTCAACGAAAAATATAACTTGAAAATGCACCAAATAGTTGAAAAAAAAATTATAACCAAAAATCATGTACGGCAGGCTAAAAGAGTTAATAGGCTGTAACAAACAGTAGAGAGAAACGATATCAAATTGTTGATGCTTGAAATACGTAGGTTCACAAGAAATTGAAATAGCAAATTTGACTTTAAAAGGGCTTGAAATTTTTTTTTTTTAAAAAAAAAAAAAAAAAGGGAGAAAAGTATATTCCATCAGCAGTGATGTAGTAGGCCACATGATCACATTTTAGCAGTTTGTGAAAATGAATGTCTTAATTATTAATATCTTAAGGTCATCTTATTTCCTTTTTATTGTATTTTCCAAAGTCCTTCAATTGAATTTAGTTGAGTTTATGAGTATACAAGGGTAATTTGCAAAAGAAAATGCCTTTTAGCAAAGTGAAATTGTAAAAAAACCTCAAGGAAGGCTTCTGAAATTATCCCTTATTGGTATTACAAGTAATAAAATGGCATTTCTGTAATTAATTGAAGGCTATTAATATTAGTTACAGGATAACCAACAAGTCTGGTTATAAATTATAATGCACTGTTATGGATGCTGAAACTGTCCTACGTACATTACATTACTTCTTATTCATTTGGAGGAAAGGATCATGATCTGAAACGAAGCCAAGTACAAGAAGATGGCCGTGCAAGTGGGAAGCACGGTTTGTTGTGGGGCAAATCTTTCTTCAATTGAGTTAAATCAGCGTTCGACAAAGCCAATTTCTGTGAGCATCATATTATGATGCCGAATGTCCTAATCGAGTATTGGAAGAGGCAACATTAATTTGTGGCAAGATTAATCTGAAACTGCTTTCTTTGGAATAGCATGTACGTTGCTAGCAACATTTGTAGCAATATATAATTAATTTTTTTCCCCTGCAGAAAAATGACATGCCTGTAATCGTGATGGTGCAGGAGACATGACACCTTTTTTTTTTTGGGGTTAGGGACAGGGCACCTTGTGCTTTCCAGATTTAACACAAAGATGTTGGATGTTGATGTAATTGATACACAAGCACATAAAAGTGCAAAAATTTGTATTGAACAAATTTTACTAAGAAAATGAGGTTAAAGATGATGATCTTGAGGCGTATTTGATGTTATCCTTAAGATGTTATTTGTTCCAACTACATAAAGTATTTGCTACAATTTATGGCAAATTATTATCTCTAAAATATAATAAGATGTAGAGAAACTTGATAGCAAATTTCAAGTTTTCTTTTACAAACAAAAGATCAAGATTTTTTTTATTTGCCAATACTTGTCATTTTTATAGGAAAAAATACCCATGGATGCCCATTGGATACTCAAATCCTTATGAATTTGAGTATGGACTTACTTTTTCAGACCCAAAAGGGTATGGATCTGAATTTGGATCTAACTAAATTAAATGGATCTGAAACTGAATTAAAAGGATCCAACCCAGATCCTATCCATTAACATGCTTAATTGTGATAATGTGATGGAATGGACACATGGGCTCCAAATGAAATTTGGGTTTATGACATTTGCGTACTATCGTTTTTATTTGGCAAAGGACAATAATTGTGTGACAGACCAGACGCTCTAACGGGCGCGATGCCCACTGGGTGCTGAGCATCCATTTCTATTTTCTTTTTTCATAGCTTTCCATTTCTTTTGTTGTTCCAAGTAAAGCCGCCAGTGGCAAAAGCTGCGAAGGTTCTGTTCAATCAAAGCCATTGCCAGAAACCACCGTCAAGCATCAAAGATGTCAAGTACGGATCTGACTTCTTTGGATAGTTGGGAACAGGGGCAGGAACGTTAATCCTTGAAAAATGACACATGTTAAAGTATATATTTGCTATTTGTCATTTGCAACTAAGGAAAACGTTAAAACTAATAAATATAGTAAATTTTACTTAGAAAAGGTAATTGATAAGTTAGTTTAACTAGGATTTTTATGTCTAAATAAAATGTTAAAATAAAATATTTTACTTAGGGAGGCTTTTTGATAAGTTAGTATAACAAAATATTTTTCTAACTAAAATATAGTGATTTAAACATTTGAACTAAACAAACTAAAAACTATTAAATTGCATTAATTGAATTGATTAAATAGTAAAATAATTCAAGAATATATGTCATATTATTAGAAATCTTTTAGAAAACATGGACTAATAAATCTCTAGTATAATAGATTTCCACGTATTTATCCCATTACAATTAGAGCTGTTAAGCAAAACAAGCAGCTCGAAAGCTCGTTAGAGCTCGGCTCGATAAGGCTCGAGCTCGGCTCGTTAATTTCAATTAACGAGTCGAGCTCGAGCTCGAAAAATACTCGTTTAGTAATCGAGCCGAGTAGGCTCGAACTCGCTTCTTTATCGAGTAGCTCGGTTGAGCTCGACAAAGAAGGGTATTTTTGTCATTTTAATAGTCAACAAGTAGAAATTTGGACTAGGGTTGAAAACTTGATATTGCATCGTTTCATTCTTCATTTCCGCCTCTCCCTCTCTGCCGCACCCCGCAGCTACTTGTTTTGCTAGCAACCCACAGGCCACAGCCAGCTAGCAACCCACAACCCTACCCACAACCCCGCAGCCCCACAGCCTCACAACACCGCAACCCCGCAGCCCCGCAACACCACAACCCAGCAACCCCGCAGCCAGCAACCTCGCAACCCCGCAGCCTCGCAACCACAGCCCCGCAACCCCGCAACCCGCAGCCGCACCCACAGCCCCGCCGTACTCCACAGCAAGCCGCAGTCCACAGCCGCAACCCACAGCAACGTCTGCCTCCACCGCCGCCCACAGACTCAACCCACAGGCCACAGCCTCTGTTTTCTGCCATTAACAACCGGTCCACCGCCGGGGCCAAAACCAGTCCAATTTGACTGGTTTCTCTAATCCTTCGTGATTTCTGGTAAGTCT